CTCCCTCCCTCCACTCTTTCTAAAACATCAATGCAAACAAGATCCTCAGGTGAGGATTAGCAGAAACAACAGCAAAATAACCTGGAAAACAAACAGAGAGAAGCACAAACCAAGTGGCAAAATGCCGGCTGTGCGTTCCTCTGGAGAGGCAGTGCTCGCACCGACCGGGCTCCCGCCAGGGACGCTGTCTTTCTCTAAAGGAGGCCGATGGGGGTGTGGCCTCCGTCATGGCCGCCCTTCGCATGAAGCCACTCGGTGGTTCCGGCAAGAATTGCACGGTTTTCAGGGTCGTGGCGTGTGTTTCCAGTTGCGCGTCTGTGCCCAGCTCCGTGCAGCAGGGAGATGAAGATGGGTGTCCGGGGAAGAAATCGGAGAGACCGGACACCTTCACTGGCCAGGCCGCTGGGCCGTCCGATGTATCTATGTTATAGAAAATCGTTCCCCATGAGCTTCCCAACAGTAGTGTTTGGGTGCAAAACCTCCATTGTGTTGAGGAGAAAATGTTCAATATTCCTTAATATCAGATCGCACAATATTCTCCCACAGAAATCTATACCAATAAAAGGGTAGTATGCTAATTAGACTGGGAGACCGGACATCCTCCTACTGTTCGACTTCCTTCCGGACAAAGCCATGGTGGTGGGGGCCGAGGCAGAGGTGGTTAGGGGCAATCAGGCCAGCAGGGGAGGGCAGTTGGGGGTCAGGAGGCTGGCTGTGGAGGGCAGTTGGGGGCCATCAGGCTGGCAGGGGAGTGGTTAGGCGGCGATCAAGCTGGTAGGCAGGCAAGTGGTTAGGAGCCAGCAGTCCCAGATTGGAGAGGGTGCAGGCCGGGCTGAGGGACCCCCCTCCCATGCACGATTTTCGTGCACCAGGCCTCTAGTCCTATGTAATAAAAGGATAATATGCATATCGACTGAACAGTGGAACGACTGATCTCTATGATGCACACGGACCACCAGGGGGCAGACGCTCAATGCAGGAGCTGCCCCCGATGGTCAGTGCGCTCCCACAGGGGGAGCACCACTCAGCCAGAAGCCAGACTCACAGCTGGTGAGCGCAGCGATGATGGCGCGAGCCTCTCTCACCTCTGTGGCAGCGCTAGGATGGCCCACTGATGGCTTAGGCAGGGAGCAGGCCTAAGCCATCAGTTGGACATCTCCCGAGGGCTCCTGGACTGAGAGAGGGTGCAGGCTAGGCTGAGGGACCCCCCCCCCCAGGCCACAAATTTCATGCACCGGGCCTGTAGTAGGTTACATAAGAGAGGATGATATTGAAGCAAGTAAGCAACTTCAATTAGGTGAATTCAATATTCATATGGATGTTTTAATGTTCAATTTTTATGAAACAGGAAGGCTTAGAAGCTAGTGGAATGCTTCTTGCTGTTCATAATTAAGGAGCCTAATAAGTGAGGAATGTTTATTGTATAAACTGAGGATGGACTGTGTTAACTGGTAAATGAAACTTGGTTGAAGGCCAATTTGCCTATCAGAAGAGTCTAATGTCTGTGATCTGAACTCGCTTTAGCAATGAGCTCAGGTTGGAGCCTTGGAACCCATCACAGGATCCTGACTAGGACTCCCGGGCCCTCGGGGTGAAATCTCATCACCCACAAACGTAGCTGCTCCTTTGTTGTTGTTGTTGTTGTTGTTAATCCTCACCTGAGGATATTTTTTTCCATCGATTTTGTTAGAGTGGAAGGGAAGGAGGGAGGGAGGGAAGGAAGTATGGAGAGAGAGAGAGAGAAACATTGATCTTGAGGGTCCTGCAACCCAGGTCATGCCCTTGACCGGGAATCACACCTGTGACTCCTGGTGGGCAGGCCAGTGCTCTGACCTCTAAGCCAGTGGCCGGAGCAGTAGTGGCTCCTGTTACATGTTTAGCTAAGGTTTCCCTTAAAACCCCCACCCAGGGTCTCAGTCCCTCTAGAGCGGCCCTAGCTCATCCCACTGAGCAGCGGATCAGCCAGGGAGGCGGTGTCTTAAGGGGAGGCCCCTCCCCCGGGTTTATTAAGCCATGTCCTGCCCTGGGCGGCCCCATTGACAGCTGCCTAAGGAACTTAGGGGGCATCTGGGAGGATATGGGGGTCCTGTCCTCTAGGCAGAGTGCATGGGACCGATTCAGGCACCACTGTGGACCCCGAAGACATTCGTTCTGAGTCCCTATCACTCACTCTGACGCTCTCCCCACCCCCCTTTGTAAAGGTCACTTGTGACTGTAAGTTCTTCAGTACTTGGCCTTTCTGTGACGTCTCCACGGGGCAGATACTCCTGGTTTCTGGTTTTTCCTCACCTTCTGTTAGGAAACGCCCGCCTGTGAGGCCAAGGGCGAGGCCTGTCTTTCAGATGAAGTGCTTGTTACTTTGTTCTCAGCGGCACCAACGTGACCAGAAATGACTTAAAGTGTGTGGGGTTGGGGGATTTTTAATCATTTAATCCATTGATGACGTCTATCAGGAGGCAAGTCGACTTCAGAGCAATCATCCCTTCACTCGAGTATTTTTACAATGTAATTTTCAAAAGCCCTCCTGCAAATGTCAGACCCTTTAGTCTCAAATCGAAAATGACAACTAGAACTATCTTATGACCGAGCAATCCCTGTTCTGGGTTCTGGGTCTACGGCTGAGGAAATCTGAAACCCTAATCCCAAAAGATATACGCACCCCTCCGTTCACTGCAGCATCACTTACAACAGCCAGGGCATGGGAGCCACCCAGGCCCATCAATAAACAACCAATCACAAGGCTGGGGGGCCTGTGTACGTGTGTGGAGTGTTACTCAGCCGTGAAAAACGAAATCTTACCATTTGTGACAGGTGGCCCAGAGGGCACCATGGGTGAAATAAGCAGGTCAGAGAAAGACAAGGGCCATATGATTCCACTTGTACTTGGAATCTAAAGAGCAAAATAAATGAACACGCAGAACCAAAACAGACTCATAGACACAGAGAACAGCCAGATGGTGGCTAGACGGGCGGGGGCTGGGGGGCTGGGTGAAGGGACTGAGAAGTGCAGACTGGTGTCTGCAAAACAGCCATGGGGTATACACTACAGCACAGGGACTCTCATCCTATTTAATAAAAGCCTAATATGCAAATTGACCCAACGGCAGAACGACCGGTGGAATGACCGGTCACTATGATGCACACTGACCACCAGGAGGCAGACGCTCTACACAGGAGCTGCCCCCAGCCCACAGGCCCCAGGCCAGCCAAGGCGGGTGCCAGTGGGGGGCCCCTGATCGCCCCACCGGTCACCCCACAGATCGGCCCTGATCGCTGGCCAGGCCTAGGGACCCTATCCACGCACGAATTTCGTGCACCGGGGCCTCTAGTAAATAATAATGAAGAACTATGTGTGGTGCCAGGGGGTGCAGGAAATGTCAAGGGGTCACTCTGCGTAGTCTACGACTGGACATTCACTCTACTCTACATCTGAGACGAATACAGACTATATGGAATGTGAACTGTACCTGCCAATAATTATAATAATTAAAATATTAAAAATAAATCCACGTACACACGAGTGGCTGGGGCACTTGGGCTGTAAGAAAACTCAAAACTGAACGTGTCAGACACTCACGTAGCATCTCTCCCACCAGGGCGGTGCCCGGGTCATTTTTCCACCAGGTGCACCGACTGGGGAGTTGAAACAGACACTGAGGGTGAATTTTTCCTGTTCTTGGTTGGGGTTCCTAAACCGGAACAAATTAAATGCCCCTCCAGACTCCAAAGCATTTTTAGAGCCTTGGACACACAGTGATCACCACGGTGCCCAGGCGCTGCCGCCCATTCGCAGAGGGAGGAACAAACGCCAGGGCTGCGGGCACAATTACGGCGCAATTACCTCCCCCCGCCCAAGCGAGATGAATGGGGAGACGTGTGTGCCTCGTGAACGGCTGCTTTGAAAGCCGCGCGCCCCCTCATTACCGCCGCCTCCATAAAGGGGCCTTTGAAGGTGAGCGCACGGCTCTCGGCTGGAGCCTAATTGAGCTTCTTGTGCCCGACCCCAGTCCGGGTATAAAAGTGCCGGCGCAGGAGCCATCGCCACAGTCACAGGTCCTCCCTGCACCTCTGCTCAGCCCAGAACCAGAACCAGAGCAGAACCCGACAGCATGTCCTACAGCCTCAGCTCCCGGACCCTCTCCTCCCGCTCCCTGGGCGGCTGCCTGCGGTACCCGGCCTCCTCCTGCGGCTCTTTCTACCCCGGCAATGTCTACCCCGGCAACACCTGCTCCGGCAACTTCTACCCCGGCAACGCCTGCTCTGGCAACGTCTACTCCAGCAACGTGGCATATGCCCAGGGCACCTGCCAGCAGGACTCCCCGTCCTACGGCTGCCAGGAGACCTGCTGGGAGCCCGCTGGCTACCAGGCGCCCTCCTACGGCCGCAGGTCCTCCTCGCTCCGCCGGTCCTACCGGGCCACCTGTCCGGGCTCCCTGGGCTGCGGCAGCACCGGCCTCGGGCCTTTCGAATACGGAGGCTCCGCTGCCCAGTCCCCGGGCTGTGGGGCCGGCTACTGCCGTCCCACCTAC